CCACACCCACACCCACCCACACCCACCCACACCCACCCACACCCACACCCACCCACACCCTCAAGATTCAATGAAAGTTGTATAACAAACTAAACCAACTTATTTTACTATTGCTATAAGTGTGAAATACTGAACCTCATCTATTTTTTCGACCTCTGATTGCTGAAATAATAATGTCCTACCACAATGCAGTTCAATTGAGACTAGACAACGTTGTTTTATTAAATATATCCATTGGATAAAATTTTCAAAGAAGTCTTACTTTTATTTTATGTTGATCAATCATAAAACTATATGTGTGGATCTCAACTTTGTATAAATTTGATCTAAAAAAGTATACGTCTAAGACTATAACTACAGTGACACGAGTATAAGCATATGAGTGTCGAAATTTAGCTATAAAAAGAAAGTATTCTCGAACTGATTGTTTGCGTTTTTAATGAAAAAACGCCCGTTCCAACAAGTTTTACAAAGTGCTCTTAAACTCTAGCAAAAGCATATGGGTTAGAATAAGAAGGCATTCAAACGTAATTTTTTCAACTTTTTTCTCGTCAGTAAATACGAAACAATTGATAAAACTTATCTTGTTGTCATCTGAACCATATAAATGTGCTATATCCATAATATCGTTCAGGTTTTCATAAAGAGATTTATTCAGAATCGCATAGAGTAACACCACATCTCATTTAAATCTAGATTTCGCTCTGATTCCTAGTCTTGATTCTGGTAGTCGATCAAAGAAAAGAATTAGTTCCAGTGTCGATAAGCCTGTGTCCGACAGGTAATTTAAAGATCTGTTGAAGAAGATTTCTATAAATAAAAAACTCTCGAATTTTATCGATTTATTCTATTTTTCGAATTAGACAAAAATTACTTTGAAATCATAATTGATTTTTCGACATTTTTTCAAAAATTTAAGATTAGGAAAACCAAGAACTTGTTGAATAATGATGAAAAAAATAAAAGAAATTGATAAATAACATTATAACAATTTGAATTTGTTCCATCAAAATCAATATATTATATACAAGAAAGAAGAGATGGAGAATTACAAATTAATGGTTGTAAGATAAATACAAACTTCTTTTAAGATAAATCTGATTGATTAAAAATATTTCCAAATTTATCTATTGAAAATGTTGAATAAATAACACAATTAAAACGTCTATTTAATGACCAAAATGATATTAAGATTTTATCTCATGATAAATAGAAAAATATATTATGCAATCAACTCTATTAAATTAATGTAAACGTGTTTTTTTTTGTAGAACTTTCATATATTTTCGAAAGATATAATGAGTGTAAATGTAAAATCGAAGGTTTTCGACTTCTCTCTCCATTATAGATCTTACGAGGGAAGGTCACCAACTGTTCAACCGCTTTTTAGTCGGAACTATGTGCATCATGTAGGTCCTAATGAGCTATGAATACCCTGAAAAGAGTTCGGGCGGCTAGCTTATTATTGTCGAGATACGGCATTTTTATGGTATTTTTAACTAAGCACAATGCCGTAGTCCCCCTCAGGAACCAGAAAAACTGAGTTTCGAGTTTTGACTTGAAACTTTGTAGAGAAACAGACCTCAGTGAGACTAGTTTATTGTGAAAGTTTCAGGCCTTTTGGTTGCTCCTATCCTAAGATACAGCTAAAAAGAGTGTTTTTACACTGCTCGTATACCCTCGACAGGTTCCGATGTGCTTATTTCAGAATAGGAGCAACCACAAGATCTGAAACTTTCAAAATAAGCCACTCTCATTGAAGTCTGTTTCTGTGCCAATCTTCAAGTCAAAATTCAAAACTCAGTTTTTTTGGTGCTCCTGAGGGGGTCTACGGCGTTCTGCTTAACAATATCGTAAAAATGCAGTATCTCGACAGTAATGGGCTAGCCGCCAGTACTCTTTTCAGGGTATTCATAGCTCATTAGGACCTATATGATGCACACAGTTCTGACTCAAAAGCGATTGAACAGTTGGTGACCTTCCCTGTTAGCAACTATTCTATCTTGTGTGGTATATATGAGTTCCATATATCGACACTAAATGAACTATGCTAACAAGCTTTTTCACAAGAATAATAAAACAACTTTCTTTTTTAAATTTTGTCAAACACGATCTAAAACGGCTGTTGAAGTTATTGAGTTGCAGATGTACATTTTCGTGGACCCGAAGAACAAAAAACTGAATCTGGACTCTATCAGCTCTTGGCTTCGACTCGAACAGATACTAACTCAAATTTTATTCCAGCAATATCCATACATTTGAATCTTGCTGATGTACTTCTTATGTAAGAACTAAGCTTAGTATGATAATTGCCCTTTACTTTTCCTTCATACTCATTGCACTATATTGGAAGTGATACATTTCACGATCGCCATTTATTTACAATAGGTACGGATTCATAAATTGAAACATATACTGATCATTTTATTTTGTATATCACATCACAGTTTCGTTTTATTCCATATTTTAATTTCACAGTGTTTGTGCTAACAACTTTTTTTATTGATATTCTTTTAAAGAAAAATGAATTGAAATGTAATAATTCTTATTGAATTAATAGTATACATGAAAGACTGACAATTACACTAATGATTCTTACTGATATTTATTTATAAATAGATAAACTAGAAATCACAACAAAACAAGGAATTAGGATGAAAGTTCGACTCAAGACTTAATTTTTCATAGCACAAAATAGAGTTGTAAATAGTCGATAAGTTTTTAACTAGTGTCGAAAAAATCGTTTATGTATTGATTGTCCTTTTGAGATTCCATTTGTGAGAAGTCTTCAGAAAGATATACCATGTTGTACTCATTTACATGTATCAAGTTCTTCAAAGATGGCAAAATCATCTTCAAGTACAACTAGAAGAAATCTTTGTAAACGAAATTTTTATCAGATCGGACAAGTCTATGCCATGAAAAAGTTGTTCATTTTGAAGCCTGTTTCGAGCATCGCAGTTTTTACAACTCTTTCCAGCGTATAGTCTGCTGCCATGTCGGTATCGAATTAGACTGATCAGAACTGTTTTTCAAAGTCTATCACTATTATGACCGTGAGCTATAAAAAAACAATGTTTTCCTTCAGATTAGTCACCACAGAGACTTTTATTTCTAGAAATAAACAATATGTACGACTGCTTTTGCGTGTATCTTATTTTCAATTGTCTTGTTTTTCAAAACATCCAAATTTCCTATCATACCATGACTTAGATAACCGACTGACATGTAAATGTTTAGTGCCAATGCTGATAAAATCTATCACTCTCATAATCAGACTTGAGGGTGTGGGTGTGACTTTAGATCAGAAGAAAACTAACACATACACCCTTTTTTTAATGAATTAGTGAAAATAAAAGGAAAATAATAGTCAGAAGAAAAGGAGAACAATAACTTTCTTAATTTTCACAAAGCTTTCTTCGCATCCGTTTACGTGTTCTTTAATAGTGTTACTCAATGATTAATGAGAATATCAAGAAAAGAAAAGTTCCTTCCTCCACGAATGATACTCATCTATTATCCAACGTATCTAAATAATTTACTTTATGGTGCAGATTGATATTGAAATATTTGTAGATTTTTTTATTTTCTAAGAAACTAATAACAAGATTAAATTGATATTCTAATTTGTGAATTAGTTGTAAATGAAGATTAGAGAAAAAAAAGTTTTTGTCTAGTTGTTCATAAGCTATCGGATGTTCAATCAACCTGAATTGACACCGTTTTTCTTTTTTTTTCTGTCGTTATTGAGAAAAATGATGGTATTGTCGACCAGTTTATTTTCAATCGGAAAAGAGATTTAGTTTTGACGAAGCGGAAAAATAAAATATATCAAGTAAAAAACAGGGAGACAGCTACATGTTTTTTTTTCAAAACAAAAAAAAACAAACTCGAATAATATTTTCTTTCATTTATTTTTAGTAGATCATTTGAACAAAAATCTTTTATTTAACAAAAAAGCTTTTTAAAAAAAATCCGAATGTCTTTATTAATTTGATTTAATTCATTCATTGTTGCATTTCCATATTCTCGAATTATTTTACCATCTTGTTTTACTGTTGTATAATGTTTATCTCCACATATTTCACTTACTGTTTCAGTTTTGTATATTTTCATTTTGATTTGATGATTATTGAATTTGTTTTTCAATAACGCATCTTCCCGATGGTGTTGTTTCTCGTTTCATTGTTGTTATTATAAAAGTTCTTGGAAATGCTCCATTAAGACCATGTTTTTCTATAGTAGAATCAAGATTTTCATCACCATAATGATTATCTACAAAAGACATTAGTTTAAGAAAATTCGTTTTTAGAATAGGTTTTTGTTTTGTTTTTACTTTGAAACTCTGTAGTTGCAAAGCTGGAGAAAAGTCAATCGAAATCAACGAAGATTTTTTCAATTGGGGAAAATAAACCATTGAATGGAAAATCATCATTACTATCTTCCATTTTAGTTTTTAGAATGAAAAGTTATTTCTCATTGTTCATTTTTATTTTTATTTTTATTTAAATGTGAAGAAATGTATAAACGAAAAGTAGTTCTTTAGACATTTAATTATCTCTTAGTCTTATTAATGACTTCATTATATAGTTAAACGTGATCAAGAAAAGGCTGGCGGTATGAATATTGAATAGATGCGTGTAGGTTACTAATTGAGTGAGTCAATCGAGATATTGCAAAGGTCGAATATCAAATGAAATCATGTCGATAAAATTTCTTAAACAATTATAAAGTACTCAGTTGCATTGATGTCGTTTTATAAACCGAGATTATTTATTTTTGTATATTATCAAAGAATTTCAATGTCTACTGAAGTAAAAACATATTTCAAACAAATGTATTGATTTTAAATTTTCGTTTTAGAAAAGGATTTCTTTATCTTGAAATAAGAGAAAAACGTTCTAATGATAAGTTACTTTTTCAAAATGATAAATATATGCCTTAAAAGTTAATAATAGTGATAATAGAATTAGAATTCCAATTTCAGTTGCTTTTGTAACACGACATAATTGTCCTATAAAATCCGGTAAATGGGCTGTACCAGATAATGAATTTTCACTAAACAAGAATTAAAGATTACTTTAAATTAAATTCGATTTCATTATTAAATTTCATACCGATAAATGTGGTACATAGGATGCTGCACAAATATTAAATGGATTATATTCATCATAATTTAATGGATGTTCATCAATTGGATTTTTTTCACGAACACTTAATACTTTCCGTGTCTAAACAAAAGAACATAAAAAAAGTAAGTTTTTATTGTTTTTTGTTCGTCTTCTAAAATAATTCAATCAAAATTATGTTTCATTTAACAAAGAATAAACTCAATTGTTCTCAAATAAATCAAAAAAACATGAAAAATTTCTATCAACAGATTTGAAATATCTTGAAAGCATTAAAGATATGTTTTCTTTCTTGTTTTTTTGGTTTATTTTAAAACCTTTCAAAGTTGAAGTCAAGAAAGAATGAGAATATTTGGTTTGAAAATGAAAGATTAAAACTAAAGCTAAATACCTATTGAGAAACATCAGATGCTGGTTCCAATTCCAATAAACGTATGGTAAAGCTTGTTGCAGCTTTATAATTTTTTAATTGCAAATGCTTGAGTGAAGATTTTAATGTCACGATCATCTTTTGCTAAATCTTTTTTTTGCCATTAACATTTGTAAATCAACAATATATTCTTTACATATTTCAGTTAATTGTTGACTCTCAAGAATATCTTGACGTAATTCAACAACACATAATGCAACAGATAATAATATTGAACGAAATTTTTCAACAGCTTCTTGAAATTTTCCATTTGTTGTTAAACGATAAGCGATTTGAAGACGTCCAACTGCTGGATAAAATAGTTTTGGTGAATGGACTTCACGCCTTAATAATTAAAATAAAAATTTTAAAATATTTATTAAATGAACAAATACAAACCAATTTCTTAATGAAATATGCATATAATTATGATAATGATGGAAGTGCTGTAAAAGCTGTACTTGAACGTGAATATATTTGAATAAAAACATACAAGATCAGGTGATAATTCAATTTCAGTATCACCTCAACCTTCATCTTGATTATTATTAAGATCATCGTCATCACTTTCAATTGGTACTTCATCATCAACCCAATCTCAATCACTTGTTGCTGCTTCATTAATATGAAGATTTAAAGCAAGTTTTGCTGTTATGTTGGATATTAAATTTGCTTTGTGTAACGACAAACTGGATTGAATAGCTTTTCGCCATTCTCGGCAATAATGTTTATTCAGCTATTTCCCATATCCAGAGTGTGTCTATTGCACATTCAACACACACTTATATATGATACAGAAACAATGGGAGAGAGACGACACAGAGAGAACAATAGAGAGAGAAAGAGGAAAGAAGAAGAGCAGCTAGCCGTGTCATCAATATCGGCACACCCTCCCACTCAGATCAGACGCGCTCCTGAGCGTCTTTACAATATCCAAAAAAAATTAAATGAAACAATGGTAAGTAGCGAAGAGAAACAATAACGTAACAGAACACATCAAAAGTTGATCATTTTGACCATTATCATACAATAAAAAGTCGGATATAAACAATATCAATCAATAACACTAATAACAATCGCTTGAATTATCTTCTTTTTTTTTCAGACACTTTACAAAAAAACGCAATGAACAGTTACATATAGAGACTTTAGTCTAGTGTATACACAGTGTTTAAAAGAATTTCTTTTTCCAGTCCAGAATCAGAGTATCTTAGCACACCACATTAAACAAAATTATTAGTAACAAATAGCTGAGCATCACAGCGCTAATCAAAGAATACATTAAATAGTTATACAAATCAATATAATATCACAAAAGTCAATTTTCTAGTAATTCTTCACAAAAAAAACGAAAAGTTGTCACATTTCTTATTTAATTTAATCAAATGTAACGCATCAACGCGGTACGAAAGAATAGAAAAATTTATGCACCCTCTGGGCAATGGAAAGAAAAGAAACTTTTTCACACGTTTCATCACTTTTATCAGTTAAAAGATAATCGACTTTTTTCCCGCTTGTTTTGTTTATCTGACATTCATGCGACGTTGGATATATAAGATAATGAGTTGGATTGCGTGCAGATGGTGTATTGATGATAAATGAAATGACATTGCTTGCGGCAGTTATACAATTAAAATTCAGCCTCTTCTACCCTTGTTTGTTTTCTTCTTTTTCCTTGTTGACGAGACGAATAATTTATGTTTTTAATTGCGCTTCAGATGTTGTTAACGACTAATTTTTCCTAATTTCATGTGTTATATAGCCGGTATATAACTTCTGCTAATATAATGCGTCGCCACGCAGTAGAAGTGGACCACTTCCATGTCATTCTTCTCACGGATGACTCGACTGTTCGGTCGGCTGGGTCGTTCTCGCAGCTATTCAAATATTTACTTATCAATTTCTTTTGTTCATATAATTGCTTCTGTTTTTCATAAAAATTCCTGCCAACGCTTGTCCACCGGAGGCCGGCGTCGTCCAAACCGTTGAGGAGGTTCATCATTATATTAATTGAATTAATACTTGCTACTTCACACACTGCACAGTAGTTGATTAGCCGCTGCGCTTTGATTAACTTCTTGAATCATCTTTATAATGTTGTAGCTGTTGATAAAGACTAACTTCGAGAAGATTTTTCAGGATTCATTAACCATAGTTGCCAGTTGTGACGAACTTAGAGAGTGTCGCCTATGCCGGTCGGCATGATGGTGTATTGTGTCATCTGCACATCTCTAGTCGTGGTTCATGATGTTGAATTGTTATTGGTTCTGACACGACTTGACTTCCATTCAGAACTTGCAATGATTCAGCAACCAGGGTCGAGATGTAATGACCGAGGTCTGCCAGAGTCGCCATGTAACGACAAACTGGATTGAATAACTTTTCGCCATTCTCAGCAATGATGTTTATTCAGCTATTTCCCATATCCAGAGTGTGTCTATTGCACATTCAACACACACTTATATATGATACAGAAACAATGGGAGAGAGACGACACAGAGAGAACAATAGAGAGAGAAAGAGGAAAGAAGAAGAGCAGCTAGCCGTGTCATCAATATCGGCACACTTTGATTCTTATTGTCTTATTGAACATGGTGATAAAATTAATTTAGCATTTAGATTTATAGCAGGTATCTAAAATAAATATTTTATTTTGAATTACTTAATTTAAAACAAGCTTAATATTGATTAAATGTATGTCTATCTTATTATTTCATATTTAACATATCAATTAAACAAAGAACAAGTAACAGTAATAACTTTGTTAAAATCTCAGTCTACCGGCTTATACCATTTTTGAAATAGAACATAAAAATTCTTCTTATTTTATTTTAACCTACATTCTAATGAATGTCAATCAGAGAAAATAAACTAAATTAAGTATGACATGGTGATTATTTGAAATGTCTTTTAGAAAAAACATGTTATCATTCAATGTCGCAATAAACTTCGAAAATCATCATAAACTTCTTTATACAACAGTACAGAAAACTCTTGAAATAAATGATGTGTTGAATACAATTAAAGATTGTTTAGAAATTATTTAATATCTCAAAAAAATTGGTATATTTACATGAAAACCAATAACTAGTTTTCAAGACTTTCAATTGAAGATATTAGAAAACGAAAAATAAAACTTTCAAACTTGCTTTAATTTTTTTAAAAGCCCTTTCGGACGAAGTATTAACATGCGAGTATTTTTTATTCATAATAAATTACTTTTTCATCAAATGATTCTATTGTATAAAAAAGACATAACATAATTCAATCTCA